TGATACAGTAGACAGTCTCTATATTGTATTATAGAATTATAGGCATTTAAAATGAAGAACCAATTACCTCTGGACAGACTAGCACTTAAGCATTTAATATTTAATATATACTGTCCACAAAAAGGATATTTGCTATATATGATCAGATTTGTAATGCCATATTTGCTTAAATACGATTGTGTGCAACTTAGTATCTTTGGAGTAATTTGTGTCTGGGCCCTGAGCATTGAGAACGGTCTAATATATAAAGCGTTGGCTCTGCCGGTAGCCCAGTTTGTCCAGGTTGGGATTACAAGCAAACTGGATCATGGGAGGTGGACCGCACATAAGGATCATAGAGTCATCACTGGGTGGAGGCAGGTGCTCCTGAATCATCTCAGCATTGATGAAGCCCTGACTGTACTCCCAATCTGCAAACAAGTCAATGCATGTAAATGTCAAAGAAAACCATATGATAAAAAAAAAAAAATCTGCTCTAAAACACATTCCAAGTTCTTAGAAATGTACTCTTTGTTTTTATGTTGGTTTCCCTTTTTGACATTTTTTTTTTTACATAATTTAAATACTTTAAATTTAAATTCTAAGTTTAGATTTGTCCATCAAGCAAAATTTGCCTTAAACACTGAATGCATGTGTACATTAGTTTTAAAATATATTAATGTAAAAAATTGTTTTTTTTTCACAAATATGATAAACTGATAAACTATTAATTAATAAATATCATTATTTTTTTGTCCATGTCGCCACATGACATTGTAAAAGCTAAACTAACCTTGTCCTGTCATATAAAAGGTCAAATTAGCTGACATTTTATTTCATCAGGACAGTTGTTACAATTTTTGACTTCATGAACCAAAATTTAACACATGCTCATCATAGGAGGTCAAGTAATATGTATAAATTACAATTTTAAATGTATTTTAAAATGTTATATAAAAAAATATGTCATTGACCAACATACACTACCATTTAAAATTTTGGGGTCATTAAGACATTTTTTACTTACATTTTGAATACTTTTATTCAAAAAGGATGCATTAAATTGATCAAAAATGACAGTAAAGACATTTTTCATTAATTATATAATTAATCAATTAAATGTTTTTTTTTTCTATTCTCTGCTTTCTATTCATCAAAAAATCCAGAAAAAAAATGATCAGTTTCCACAAAAATATTAAGTAGCACAACTGTTTTCAACATTGGTAAATGTTTCTTAAGCAGCAAATAATTATATTAGAATAATTTCTGAAGGATCATGTGTTACTGAAGACTGAATTAATGGCTGCTGAAAATCTCAGGAATAAATTATAAATTATATTTTAGAGTATATTAAAATAGAAAACATTTATTTTAGATTGTAATAATGTTTCACAATATTACAGTTTTTACTGCATTTATGATCAAATATACCAATGTATACCAAGCTTAATCATCTTGTAGGTTAGGTAGGGAGTCATATACCTGCAGGAGCTCTGTCCACTGTGAACCAGAGTTTGAAGCGATCTGGATGCCTCGCCTGAATCTCCTCCAGTTCATCCTTCAACAGAATGTCCTTCTCAGTCTGGAAGAAAGACAAAAGGTAAACAGATTAATTTTATACTTGCTAAGCAGTTGAATCTGTCTGAACATCATTTTGTTTATGAGCAAACGAAAAAAAAAAGGGACGGTACAAAAAATTCTTTCATTAATATATTTGAAACAACCCCTTTTCTACTAGAACACCAACCTGGTTGGCAAACAGCAGGCTGCATGTTGTCGTGTCACTTGAGTTTTTGATGACGTCACGAACCAGCTGCAACACTGGCGTAATGCCTACAAAGGGAAGAGGACAAATTATTTTAGTGATCATACGGCTTCATTATGACTAGGAACGAGGAGAAAGACGCTCTACCTGTTCCTCCAGCAATAAGACCCAACGTTCTTGCAGTCTTAGTCTCAGCAGGGGCCTTCTTATCGGCCTGTATAGCGAAGCGACCTGTTGGGAGGAGATGTAGGTGTAAGGTGTGACCACTGTGTAAATACATCCATCTAAATTCAGCTCAAATATTGATAGTAAATGTGCCGAGTCAGACCTTGCCCCTTGTACACCAGCAAACCTCCTGGTCCTCTGAAGTCAATCACATCTCCGATCCTCAAACTCTCCAAATACTGGGACATCTTTCCCCCTTCTGGGAACTTTGGGTGCACATTCTTAAAATAAATCTGCAGAAAGAAACATGTCAGCTCTAATGCTACCATTTCAAACCCCAGGAGCTTTTACAAGAAATGTAGAGAATCTGAACCTTCACAACGAGGTCAACGAATCCTTTGTCATCGTCGCTGGACACTGGTGTGTAAGGACGCACAATCAAATTACCATCAATCCTGGCAGAGAGATAAACATGCTTGCCTTGAGAAAGAAAGACAGGGAGAAAGAGCACTTTACTATTACTATAATTGATACACAGCCCAGTCTGTACATCAAGAACTTGTTTACACCAGGTATGATCATCCGTATGGAGACACTACTGTTTACATCTGGTAACTTGCGGCTCAAACGGGTCTGATTTTCTGATTACATACATCACTTGCTCTGTCAATATGTTAATGCATGTTAAAATGCAAAAAGGTAAAATAATAATTATTATTGCAATTATAATTGATAAAATGAATAAATTACATATTTTTTATAATTACAATTATCATTATTATTATGCTCACCGAGGCTATATTTATGTGATCAAAAATACAGTAAAAACAGTATTACAATATTTGCTTTTATTTTATATATACTTTAACAGTAGTTTATTTCTGTGAAGGCAAAGGGGAATTTTCAGCGTCACATGATTTTTCAGAAATTATTCTAATATGAAGAAGCATTTAATATCTCAAGAAGCATTTCATATTATTAACAGTTCAACTGCTTAACATTTTTGTGGAAACCGAGATAATGTTTTTCAGCATTTCTTTGAAATAGAAATATTTTGTAATACTATAAATGTTGTTTCTTGATAAATTTAAAAATTGTATTTAATTAAAAAAAACTTACTGACCCATAACTTTTAAATAGTGCCAATACAGATTTGTATATACTCAACAAATATTTATTTATTTTTATTATACTTATTTTGCCTTGATATCAGGTAATATGAGGAAAAGCATAAAACCACTATAATTAAAGGGATAGTTCATACTTCATTCATCGTCGTAACACAAATGAAGGTATCTTTGATGAAATCCGAGAGCTTACTGACCCTGCATAGACGGCAATGCAACTGAAGCTACGAGAATACTTTATGTGCGCAAAGAAAACAAACATGCTCTCGGATTTCATCAAAAATATCTTAATTTGTGTTAAAAAGATTAGTGAAGGTCTTACGGGTTTGTAACATCATGAGGGCGAGTAATTAATGACAGAATTTTCATTTTTGGGTGAACTATCTCTTTAAACCCTTGTTTTAGTTTAAAGGTTTATTGACAAGCAGGCAATCCTTCACGGTTGTCTGATACACATCAGATCAGCATTTTCACTACAAATCTGATGTTGTCCACTAAACAGTGTCCAAATGTCTGTGATTAGTCTCAAGCAAATGTGCAAGTTTAAACAAGCTGCTTTTCAAACCCTAAGCTCATTTATCATTTAGCACACAGTTCTTATCCAAAGCAGTCAACACGATAGGACAGGTGTGGGATTTCAGCACGCTTCAGACCAAACCCTGCAGCCTTTGTATTAGCACCAGAGAAACCGTCGACCCACCACCCAGTCCTCAAAGACTACTTACCAACAGGTAAACCCAAAACATGCTCTGAGCTGGGCAGGGCGAACCGAAACCTGCGGGTATCGTGGCTTATGACCTGCAGGAAAGAAAAATGTCTTATTTTGTCAGCATCTTGTCAGTATCACAAATATAAATTCTAGCACATGGAAATAAATAGACAGGGCAAATACCTCTTTGTCTACTAGTCTCAGTTTGTATTTTTCAGAGGGATCAATCAGGGTAATCTGTGGTTTCCTTTTCCTGTTAAAGTAATAATAACCCAGCAGACCTGCTGTTGAGACCAGCACCACTCCAACACCGACTGCAACTGTAGTGGACTAAAAATACAGATTAGTGCACATAAACACGGTTTAAGAGCCACTTTTAAAACATGTAACTGACATATATAAATAAATGCCAAACATGAATTCAATGATTTGCAATATACAAGGGAAACGTGACAAAGATTCTCCGCTCAAATGCCTGAAAGAACCATCTGTATTTCCCAGAATAAACTCTGACGTTTCTGCTTTAGTATCCCATTTCAAGAACTGTCTGCTGATCTAGTTTTCTACAAGACACAACTGTAATTTTAATACAAACGACTTTCTTAGCTTGTCTTTGAGTTAATGGCATGATTAGTCAATAGTGTGTGCTGATAAACTGATAAGCTTATGCTATGTTAAACAAACTTGGTGGAATGCCAAAGCAGTATGTCCTCTAAATAATAGTTAATTGCTTCAATTAAAGTTTAGAGTACTTCTTTAAAGCGTTATGACTTACAATCGCGTAACTCATGACGGCTGATGTGCGTCTACAAGGAGGTTCAGTCAGAACGAATCTTCAGACTAAACATTCGTCGGCACACCCATGAACATGCAGACTGAGGACTCTGTGTTGGAGGCGAATAACGCTGCGCAGTTATTGCGCATAACAGAACGATTCGACCAACGCATTCCGTTTTGCGTAATCCCATCCACATTGCGTGTGGCTGTCTCAGTGAAACCCGGAAACCCACAAAACTAGATAAAAATAAAAGTCCTTGAATTTCCATTTGTCCAGAAATTCAATCATTTAATATATAAATTAAAAGCAAACAAACAAAATTAAATGATTTCTTGATTTCTAACACTTAATTAATTTAAAATTAACTTTAAAATGAAAGTGCAAATAATAAATGTTCTCTGATTTCTTTTTGTTTACAAATGTAATATATTTATTTATATAAAAAATGCAATACATTTTAAAACGTAAAAATGTGGAAGTAATTAAATGCCTGGAAAATATTTGATTTAGTAAAAACACAAATATAATTCACAAATTCAAAAAACCATAATTCAATTTCCTGAATAATTAATACATATTGTTAAGTCAATACTCAAAGCCCCATAATTTTAAGATACCCGGGTGCTTTTAAAAGCAGATCATTGCATACATTGTTTTCCCTTATATTTTCCTATTTCATTTATGCTCAAGCTATTATCTTTTTGACATAATTGCGGACGTTGAAGTGAAGCTGTTTCGAGGTGGCTGAGAAAACTTCCATTGCCAGAGTCTTTGTCTCTTCTGATCCATTCCAAAGGGCCCGATAAACTGGTAATGTGTACTTCTGTTTCCCCTGGAAGCAAAACATTAAAATCAGTCTGACCGATCTCTCTTCATACAAGCGATCTAATTATTAGTCCAAAGAGCTGAATGAATTAGAAATAAATAAATGTTAATATTAACAAATTAGAAATAACTATGTACAGATTCTGACCTGGCTTGTGAGGAAATTGCGAATATGTTGGAATCCTGGTTTATGCTGGTTCTTTGCAACAATCTGGGCCCATCGCAATTTTAGCTCGGCATTGTTGGACTCAATAATGTACGAGTAGCACTCCTCCAGCTTCTTTATGTGACCTGTTAATATGGGGATATTTATTTTACAATCTACTTAAACCATAACAATAAACCATGAACACAAGGAGTTATTTGCACCATCTGGAAGTGGTGACTTCTCAAGGATCTTGTCCAAGAAGTAGACAGTTTGGTAGGTCTTCCACGGTTTTATATCAGTTTTGTAGATAGATTCCAAGTCTGGGTTATGATTGACCCACATTTCAGCTAACAGCTCTGCTGGTTTCATCAGCTCCTGGCCAGCAGAGAGGTCGGGAACATATGGAGGCCAACCAGGTACATTGAGCCAGCTGTCAAAATCCAGACCTAACAAAGCAACCGAGAAGAAACAAAGCTGATGGCAAAAGGCAGTCTGACCAAACAGTATTAATTTAGTCTAGCTTTTGTGATTTTACAATGAAATGCTACTATGAAAGAAATGAAGAAATGAAAGAAATGCTACTAATGGTCTTTTTCCGCACCTTCAATTTTGTGGACATTCTTTTCTTTCAGGTCTGGAAAATATTCCAGGTAAAACTCCAACGCATCTTCTGCCAACACACTTCTGAACTTGAACTTGTCCACATAAGCCTTGAAGAGATACAAGTGAATTGCTGTTTTATCATACTTGTTTACATACTTTCATTCATTCTGACATTCAAATGTTTTGGGTCAGAAAGATTTATTTTTTAATAAATAAATTTTTATTTAGCAAAGATGCATTAAATAATAAAAAGAAAACTTTAAATTGTTACAAAAAACTATTTAAAATAAATGTATCAGTTTCCACAAAAATATTAAGCAGCACAATTGTTTTTTAATACCAAGAGATGTGAAACTGAAGCAAGGCTATTATCGTTAACTAAAATATATCTGGTAATTGAAATAAAGCTGCAATAAAATAAAAGGGCATTTCGCACCGCTGGAACTGGGTGCGATTTTAGTACCGGACTGCCTTTTTCGAGAACCAAATTAGCTCCTACCCCGGAGCAGGGTCTAACCAGCACAACTGGTACTAATCATGACGTAAGTAGACATTGATTGGCCAAACGCGTATGAAAACGCCCTCACCCGCCATGATTTAAAACGCCGTGTAAACATACTGTAAACATTGTGTCAACTTATTTCGCAAGTATGGAGAACAGCGATAGATGGACGGATGCTGAAGTGCAGGCACTTGTAGCAAATGTAGCACTGCCAGTTGTCGTTGGAGATTCTTAGTCCTCCTTTCCGTTCTTTCAGTCGCTTTACGTATACGTCGACTTTCCATGTCCATTATTGTGA